TTCCAAATATAATATAGTACAATATTATCGGTAAAACTAATGATGATTTTAACGAATCATGCTCCTACTTCATACAAATACAGATTTCTATATTACGTTGTCCTCCGCTGATATGTGATCATGTCCACTAATAGATTATAAATTACGTTGTCCCCCACGGAGTTTTGGGTAACCAATTTCTATAAACAAGGCAACTTTGAAATACTCAAACACAACAGTATAAGCCATCTGCTCTCCACTGTTCTCTCCCATAATCCCTTACGCTTCCCCATGATTTATCCTTCTGTATCATCACATCACTTTTAGCTGAATAAATTGATATTATATTGTTACTCTACTTTTAGCGAAACGTAGAGTAAGAGAAAAGACTCTATTTATCTCTCCTTCTTAATGTTCTCTTCAGCTACATAATTATCCCCTTTTTTCCGAAACTCTACCCAGCCATCATTTCTACCATCAACTTGTTTTCCATGGACCATGGGCCTCCATAGTTATAGCCAGCCATCGGATTCATCCCAAGATCCCCTTGGTTCTTATAGACCTGTTTATCCCGCGCCAATGTCTTTTGAAAATCGGGGTATTCCTCGTCACTGTTACTGCGGAGGGACGATCAATCTTGCGAATTCACTCTCCGAGAAGAACCTCGGTAGGCAGTTCTATAAGTGCGGGAAGAGAGACGTAAGTTTAAATCCCACTTTTACTATATTCAATTGGTCGATCTACTATAGTTACATTTGCTATCTTTTTATTCAGGCCCGACCTGGGCGCCATCTTGTTAAAGGGTTGGACGAAGCATTGATGGACGAAATTTCAGCTATAAAGTGCTCTATTAGGAAACAAGATGAACACCTTAAGTTCCTACTTACCACCCTTAACGGTGACCGCCTTGATTTTCCATTGATGTGCACTCGGCTAGATCTTTACCAGCAAGACATTAAAGAGCTTCAACATAATTTTGGACTTTTGCAACGTTCCCCTCGTTCCATTGTCGACGTCGCTCGTTCGTGTCCTCAAAACATCTTGCTCGTCCTTGTGGTTTTGGTCCCCGTGGCCGCATTCATGCTTGGCACTTATATGTAGTGGGTCAGAGCTTTAATAGCTCTTTTTCATCCTTCGGCACTTATGTTTCCTTCGGCTATAATGTCCCCCCTTTGTTGTTTCATATTGTATCTCGGGGTCTATCGTGTTATATTGGTCCCTTTGTTGTTGTAACACGAATTCTACAAGTTATCTATATTTTTAAGATATGAAGTATGAAGATATCTCGCCCCAGATATATTTATTTCTAATGCCAACAAGCTAAAGTAAATTTTAGCTGAATTTTATTTCCATTGTCGACGTCTCTCGTTCGTGTCCTCAAAACAACTTTCTAGTCCTCACGATAATTGTCACCGTATCCTCTTTCATGCTTGGCACTTATATGTAGCGCCAACTATGCTTTTATTGTCCTCCCGATTAATGTCCCCAACTACTACTTACAATTCCCTAACACGAGGACTTTTATTTTGTATATGCTTTTGTCACATCTAACATTGTTTTTACTTTACTACATTCTTTATCCTTACCTACTAAAACTCCTTGTAATCCCATCTATATATAGTTCTTCTGGTTTTTGTGCCAAACCATACTTCCAATATCTTGAGATGTTTTTGTGGCAACAACTTCCCAAACATCTTAGGGTTTCGATTGTCCTTCTTGTTGGTAAGTCATGTTACCGATACTTAGGACCCCTAACTCTCTCTGGGAACGCTGGCCGGCGTCTCGCACTTGATCCTTCTGTTTTGCGGGAGACTTCTCTGGCTCCCCTTGAAGCGCATCCTCAAAATTTTTTCATCGGTTCATCCATTCACTTGTTTGTTTTACGATGTGTGAAGGCTGGGAATCCGGTTGCTTGTTACTTAGAGAGCATTATGCTCGCTGCAGTCGAAGGGTTAATGAAGAAGCAATGGACATCCTCGCTCATATACCCGATCCATCCCCCAAAATTCTATTCACCAAAGGTCTCTACCTTGTCTCTGTTAATATACCTATGGATGCCATCACCGCTATGAATCTATTCAAACAGGATGTTGTCTCTACCCGCAATGCTGATCGTGTGGCATGCTTGTGATGTCCGACATTAAGAAGATCGCCCTAGACCAACATAGGTTCAACTGGACTGGCTATACGTGCTACTTGATCCATCCCCCTCGTCGATATTCAGAATGTTCCAAATGTAATTTTTGGAACCCTTGTCCTCTCTGTGTTAATTGGTGGGTCTTATGATTTTTTGTTTTGTCTTTATATGGTCTCCCATCGTTTTTTGTCTTCGTAGACCTTTTATATAATAAATATATATATTATTTGTACGAAAGTTGTGAGATGTGCTTGTAAGTTTCTTTATAATACTTCAGTTATCCAAATTCAACATGTCATACAAAAACATATCAAGTGTATTTGCATAGAGGCATTGATAGACAAAGTAGAAACATATAGTCTTCGATGGACAAACCAAGTACGATAGTTACATGTGGGGGACATAAAGCCGATCGATGGAATGATGATTTTGGACAATAAATGTGATAGAATGAATACAAACTTATAGTCTTTCGAATTTAGGTAGATTACTGTGTTCATAAGTAAATCTAAAAATAGTACATAACTAGTAGATCCAGGTACAACAACAAAAAGGACAAAATAAAAGGCGAGAGACCTTGATAGACAATAAGAAATTTTAAATTTTGGGACAGTAAAGCTGATAGATTAAAAAGAGCTATTAAAGCTCTGACCGCTACAAATAAGTTCCAAGCATGAAAGCGGCTACGGGGACAATTATTGCGAGGACGAGATAGAGGTTGTGTGGACAAGAACGAACGACGTCGACAATGTTACGAGGAGCGCGTTGTAGAGCAGCAGCATTATACTCAAGACCATTAATGGTTTGCTGGAAAAGATCAAAACGATCCCACATCGATGGAGGGTAAATGCGATCCGCCTACCGGGATCAGCTTTGGTGATGGAATTCACAAGATGGACATGCCCTCCATAGAAACACATTCTAGGAATACCAAGGCTGTCGGAATTGTTGGAAATGGATAGGGGCGGAGGCGAGGAGGCGTAAACAGGTCCATAGAAACCAAGAGAATCTCGGGAAGAAGACGATGGCTGGCTATAACTATGGAGGCCCATTAGTCTGCGGAAACAACAGGATGCGAGAAAAGATGGTATAGGTTGGGAGGACCAGTTGAAGAGGAGATAAGAAATGAAGTAACTGAAGAGAACATTAAGGTGGAGAGATAAATAGAGATGGCTGGATTTCCCACAAAAACTTTCCCCCCAAAAACTCGTAAAATTAAATTAAAATTTAAACAACTTTTACTTTAACTTGATGTGAAGCTATGAGGAAATGTAAGGAATTAGAGGAGAAAACAGTGGGCAGAAGGTATGGGATGTGTCATAGAAGAAAATAATTGGAAAGCAGCTGGCAATTGCAACAAAAAACATAGATAATCGTGTATTTTGTGGTTGATATTTAACTTTTGGTTATATAGTCAAAGGAAGTTACGATTTAAGGACAGGATTGTAGTTGGAATAAACAAAACCAGAATACTAGTTATAAAGGACTAGTAGTTTGCTTAGGTTCAATCCAACAAAGAAAACAAAGAGAAAGAGAGAATATTACAAAACAAGAAATAAGTTTTTTGTAGAGCCATGTACTAAATAGATTAAAAACGAAGAGCCTGGATGAACTCTTCATAGATGTCGACAGCGAATCTCAGCCTCATATTCTCCACCATTTCCTCTGTGATGACATCATGACTGATTGCTTGAAGATGAAGCTCAATAAACTTAACAGAAAGAGGGCCGCAGTCCCCGACATCCTCGCTTTGGAATAGTTCAGGAATTCTCTCAACTACAAATTCCTTGGGCACTGGGGTCTGGATGATATTCTGGGAGACCAGGTCCTTGATTAGAGAAGGGATAATCACAGACAGAGGTTTTATCATGTTTTTCATCTGTTTGGCCTCTGATGCGCCGCCCACATTAGAGTCGAGGATAGCGATTGAATACTCTTTCAGGTCAATGATAAGCGAGACCCAGTGACCTTTGGCCAGATGCAAAGGGGCATATAGAGTATCGACATCTGTCAACCAAGCCTGCCTATTGTAGCGCTCAGGGACAATACCCCTGACAACATAGTCCTTAAACATATTGCTCCACACCCAGTCCGATTTGTTTTTTGACTTCTTGAAACGATCAAACATCTCGCAAATGTTCAGAGAAAACCATGTATCCAATACAGCAGCCCTACTCTCGACAAAAGAATCCCTCAACTTCCGTCATAGAAGACTAAGCATGGCATCAACGTGCTGGAATGAATATGAAATGAGTAACATAAAAAAGACGAAGGGATTAATAAGATAAAAGAACTGCACTAACCTCTTGGTGGACACTGGACAGGTTGGTGAGGAGTGTGAAGATCTTTAAAAAGGACCAGGGGACAAGATGACCATCAACTTAGTAGTCCCTGCGACAAGTGAAATAAATTTAAAGATCATCACACTAAGCTAATAATTAAGACTAAGCATAGAAGGAATTTTTAAAAATGATGGAAAAAATACCCACTTCTGACGATAAGCTTTGAGTGTGGACATGAACTTTCTCCGCAAATCATCATTGACTTTGACGAATGGGTGGAGGACCTCTTCAGGCAGTTGAAAAAAAACTAGTTGTCCCCTGAATTTCTTTGATTGGAGGAGTGTCAAGGAAACGCTGGGGTTTTTTCCTTTGCCTTTTCGAAGGGAGCACCTGATGTGAAGAATTCCCAGTCTCAACTTCACTGGTACATTTTTTTTTCTTTCTGTCAGAATCTTCAACAACAGGACTAGTCCCTACTCCCTTGATATGTGCATCCTAATAGGAAGACAATATAAAGATATTGCATTGATGGTCACTTATATGAATTCTATGATTACTTTTGTTATTTTTAAACCCTTTTTAAAATGAATACGTGCATGTGACTATAATATTATTACCTCATCGCCAGAATCATAATCATCTACAGCTTCGTCGTTTTGGTCCTCGACAACTTGATCATCTTCTACAGCCATATCCTCAGGACTGCCACCACAACTGGCAGTATCGCTTTCCTCGTCCTCGTCTTCGGATTTACTATTATCATTGTTGTTGTCCTCGTCCTCAGTCTCGTCACTGGGTTCTTGACCTTCTTCAGTCACCTTTGTTTCCTCAGCGTCGTCCTCATCAGGCCTCTGATTTGCATCTTCCTCCTCCGGGGCAGCATCAACTTTTTCTTTCCCACCACAACCATCTTTTCCAATTGGGACCTATAAAAATCAATATAGTGTTAAAAAAAGCAAGCCAATAAAGATAATAAGTAGGGAAGGAAGGTAAATTGAAACCTGAACAGTCTCGTCTCCTTCTTCTGCTTCATCTGCAAACGCTTCCAGGGGAGTAGAAAAAAAGTTTGGCTGTGATAGAGAATAGACAAATTAATTAGAAACTTAATTCTACAATAGTAAATTAGGATATATAAACCAATAAATCGGAAAATTTACATTGTGATCTTTATGCAAATTAGAGGAGGAGGGGTTTAGACTATTTAGCACATCAGTTACTCCTCCGTAAGGGATCCACGCTGTCCTTTCCAACTCATCCAGAACTTGGCTGGGGTCTTTCCCCTACATCTCGTTAATTAAACAAGCAGAGGAGGATGGATGGTTACGGACAGGTGATGCATACTTGTCCTTGTCCCTGTTTTTTGGATTGTTGTCCTTGATCTCAGAACTTCCTGTAGAGGTTGGGTTAGGCTGATTGTTGTCACCATCATTCGAAAGAGGAGACTTCTCGCCTCCTCTGTGGCTTTTCGATGGAGGAGACTCCTCGCCTCCTCTGGGACTATTCGTAACAGGAGATTTCTCTGTCCCTTTGGGATTCTTTATAACAGGAGTTTTCTCTGTCCCTTTGGGACTCTTCGTAACATGAGTTATATCTGTCCCTTTTTGACTACCAGGATACTTCCCACCATACCGCAGGTTGCTTATGATCTCATCTAAAAGTTCATCTTTCATCAACTTCTTATCAATATCAACCACCCTTCTGATTTCATCGTAAAGTTCAATCTTCAATTCCCTCCTAATGTCACGGACTCTTTGTTCAACTTGTTCCATGATAAGCGCATGAAGGACATCCTGTCCACCAGGCTCATCACCCAAAGGATGAGACTCTTCATCAACTTTCTCTTTTCCTCGAGAGGACCCAGAGATATCAGTTGTTTTGGTTGGGCGCTGGGCAGGCGCCTTCCTTGGCCTTGAAACCTTTTCTTCTTTGCCCTTCTCATCTACCATAATTGGGGGCCATTTAGAATACCCACCACTTCATACATCTTTCGTGAACTTATAACCACTCTCTATAAGCCTTTCCATATAATCCAGAGCTGGGTCAGCAACTTCATCAACCCAATCAAAATCTTGAGGATCACCAGTCAACGCCAACAGTGGGGCAATATTCAACTGCAGATAGGGACAAAAACAGTTATATAGATGTAAAAAAGGGACAAAAAATCTAATCAATACCATTAAGTTAACAAATGGAAACTTACACCAGCGATTTGCTCAGTTTCCATGATGTTGGAGTTGTGGAAAGTTTTCAACGGCGCTAACTGGAGGACAGCACGATCAGCGAAGGTCTGCTCATCATCTTTATCTGGAAGATATTTTTCCAGGGCTGGGATGGCCTTGAACATGAGTAAATAGAAGGCAATAGTAAACCCATGGGTTAAGGAATGAGACTAATTGAACTTAGAAATGAGATCACTCCGACTTTTGACTTTGTTACTAACTTTAACCATACGCATCGTGAGGAGGAATGACTCACGGCCCCAAGGAAATAGTTCAAAAGTCTCCAAATGCCATACCATTTCGACAACTTGCTTGGAAGCTCTTACGGGTTGGGAACTGCAGATAATGATACCATCAACACTGAGTATGAGAGCAAGACGCAGCCTTCTCCACTCCTCCATCCTCTCTGCACGTGGCAGATTCTTGTCCGCCCGCAACCACTCAACAATATCTTTGATAAGGACAGTATGTCTGTCCTAACCAAAAAGGGTTTCCCAGTAAGTCCTCTTTGGTTTAGGGATGAGAGGTTTTTGCGACTTCAAAATGTCGCCTGGCGATGCGTACGGATGGCAAGGAAGCCCAATTAAAATCTTGAACTCTCTCAAGGAGAAAGGGAATGGCTTCCCAGCGAAAACAAACCAAAGTTCATGTTTTTTTTGGTGTACAAGCCTCTACATAACATCTGGTGGACTAGTTTGCCAGAGAGAGAGCATTTACGGGAAGATCGAAAAGGGGATCGAAGACAGACGCTCGGATATAATTCCATTCTTTAGTACCCTCTAAGATATCAACGAGATCAAGCAGATACTCTGGCTTGGAGTAAGAATTGATACGACCAATAGGAGGGTAGAAACGGTTGCATATAGCCTTTTTGGAAGGAGGTCGGGGTCAAAAACAGGGACGATTGGAACAGTAGATCCAGAGGGCGGACTTCTATCTTTAGATCTCTCGGGGACAAACACGTTATTTGGGCAGCGAGGGACGGAGGGTATAGATTTCCTAGACGGAGATCTGGATTTAGATTTACTAGGGTTTGACTTCATCTGTGGACAATAATATGCAACGATTCAGATAAAAAGGACAGAGAGATCCATTTAACACAACTAAAAATATATAAGGGAAGTAATATAATATTACGGGGACAACAATCGGCTAATAATGGAAACTACCATAAACGATTAAAGGACAGAAATTTGAACGCGATGGGGACCAATAAAGTATGCTGCTGATTGACACTATAGATGTTGTACCATGCAAGAATGACAGAAAACTGAAGAAGAAAGGATTTACCTGTTTAATCTCTTCCGATGGTAGAGATAACTGTTGAAGAGAGAGAGAGTTGTAGAGAGAGGTTGAAGAGAGAGAGAGGGAAAATGGAGAAGAGTGATGTTTAGAAGAAATGATGATTGTTTTGGGTTTAATAAAGAAAGACGGTTACCGATGCGTCAGGAGAGAGAAATTGTGGACGGAAGGACATTCGGAGAGTCCCATCAACCACAGTGTCGTGTCGCCGGTTGGAGGGCAAAATCGTCTTTTCAAAACAGCAATTGGGTATGGTTGCTGAATGGGCTGCGAAAGTAGTACTGGGTCTAAATTTTGGACCAAATGTGGCGCCCAATCTAATTTTCTCTAAATTATATATTAATTTAATATTTTATAATTATTTATATTATATAGTTTTTTTTATGATTGATTGAACTTTTTAAAGAGGATGTAAACTGTAAACGATGTTCTTTGTCATTTGCTAATTTTGTTTCTATTGCGTTTAATTGTGTTCAATGATTAGCTTTTTTGTTCAGCATATGCTTTATCCAAATTACTTCTTATGAAATAAATTATTTCCTTTAATGGAATTTAATTCTAAATGAATTTCAGTTTGATACATAAAAAGAAAATAAATAAATTCAAAACCAATATTATTTTAACATAAACCATTTTGGTTCAAACAGGCCATTTGCTCAACTGGGTTCGCTTCAATCTCTACTTCCACTTCACTATGCAGTTTCTTCGGCTAGATTGACTTTGTGTCTTGGTATTGATTCAATGAAGTATAGGTCATTGTCTCAGGGTTTGATATTTGTGTCTTTTAGTATCTGTGAGCAACTTCTTTTTCAACTCTTTAAATCTTCTAGAATTTTACTTGTCATGCTAATGGTTTCCTTTGATGATCGCTCTTGTTTAGTTTATGAATTTGGGTCGACATTGTTATGATTTCGAGTTTCTCAGATTTAAATTCGTTAAGTTATCCCTTTTAAAGATTAAATGTTCCTCTCTTCTTTTTACAGGCATAGATTCCTCTCTTCTTTTAACACACATATATATATATATATATATAATATAGTAGCTGATAAGGAGTTCGTGTCACTAATATATAGTGCATGATTATTATTGTGAAACTAAGCCTAGTTCTTGTAGGTTTAAAGGAGAGGGAGGCGAAGGAGTTGGGGCATAATTTCTCTAGCGTCTTGGTTTAGGAATTGGTGAAAGTTTAGAGAGCCTTTCGTTGCTCGAGTCCCTTATATAGTGTAGTTTTTGGTGAATTGACAAAGAAAGAGTTTACTTGTTTCATTCTCATCAGAAGTTTCTACCTTTTTAAGTATCAAGTCAAGTTTGATATTGGTGTATGGATGTTTTTTTTTGTATGAATGTAAAATTATATTCAACAAAAAACTGTTTTACAATAAATGCATCGTTAGAAATAGAGAATTTGAAAAAATCAAAAACAGCTTAATTGTTATCGGGTATACGGGTTTGGAACCAAAACCGCAATATTGGTGTATGGATGTTGCACATTAGTCATGCTTTTACGATGCCATATGCTAATGTAGTCATCATGAAATGTATTGTGATCATCTTGCAGAGCTTGGTCTAAGTGTACCTCGATAAAGAGATCAGAAATTCAGAATCATGCCAAAAGAAATTGAGTTTGGGACGAGAGATTTTACAGCGGCTCGAATTCCAGTCTTCCTTCTGTTATTTGTCAAATTCAACTCACCTGTTGGTATTTCCCTGGTGGTTCATACTATCTCCTTCTGTATGTAATTTAGTTAGTTTTTTTTTTTCGTTTGACAAGGATCAAGACCGAAGTGAAATTGGGTTGTATTCACTACAAGAAATATCTACATTATTAGCAAGAGTGAAGAGCTATTATATGTCATTAATAGCGTTTTCATAAACGCTGTCTTATGCCCTTGTTATGGTAGACCCCAACATACGATAGCGTTTTTCGAATGCTATGGTAGACCCCTACTTACGATAGCATTTTTGTATTATAGCATTAGTCGAATGCTATAATATACTTTATTATTACACACGTTTAGTGTTGTTTTATATAATATCGTAAAATTTTCTTTCGCTATTTAAATTTAATTTGATTTATAAAATAAAATTTATATTGGAACCCAATTTTGTAAAATTTACTTATTGGACATATATATATATATATATATATATATATATATATATATATAACGTTTATATTTTATAAATCATCAACAAGTAATATTACATTACAAAAAACAAGTCATACATAACATTGTATTAAGTCTTATACTATTTTACTAAATTATCGCCTAGTCTTAAACAAACTAAAACTAACATCATATATTAAACGATATAGTCAACTTTCTCCTTGAACTTAGACTCCCATCTCTTCAACCATTCTCTCGTATCAACAGCTTGATCAAATTGTAAAACAAACAATATGTGATTAAGCATTATTTCAAACTAATAATTCTATTTGTACAGATACGCAAACTTGAGATATAAGATTTGGTAGAGGAAAGATAAGGAACCTGAGAACTCTTTTGCAGCTCCTCCCCGAGTGACATTTCCTTCTCATACTCATCAAGCTCCTTCTGCAGCTACATAGAGAAAAACTGATATCAAACCAAGAACTTGTTCTCTATGTTTCATCTGATAAGTTTTAAAACATAGAACAGATAATAAACACAATATTCATCTGAAGCAATGGACTGTGAGTAGAGAAAAATAAATAGGAACATACCGGGAATAAGGTGAGGACATAAGCATCTACAGTCACTCCCATACACATCACAACACCAAGACTGAACAAAAGCATACATTATACATTATAGAACAAAAGTTGAGAACTACAATAAGCCAGATATAAGGAATTAAATCATTACTCGAAAAAGTTGAGAATTCAAGGATCTGATCTGCCAAGTTTTCAGCACAAGGGGCTGAGTCATTAGGAAAAATTGGAGCAGCTCCTAACTGCAAGAACTCTTCGTGAAGATACAAGAAAAAAAGAGAAATTATGTGAGTAATCACGACAAGCAAACTATAAGGCAAGAAGCAACGAAAACATTAACAAATTCAGTAAAACAGAGATTCTTCAGACTTACGGTTTAAGGCCAAATCAGGATAAGTAATCAATGGTCGCTTTTCTCTATCTCCAAAGACAATGACAGACACAACACCACTAGCAGTTATAACACGATGCTCATGAACACAAGAAACCAACAAGTTTTAACAAAAGTAACGGATCATGAAACCAACAGGAAAAAACTAAACTTTTAACCATACCATTGTTAAAGGTCGATCTTGATTCTCAAATTATATGGATCTCCATGGAAGACATCAGGAACCACGACATATAATCCAGATCTGCAACCTTCTCAGCAAGTTTCCTATCACAATAAAACCATAAAACGAAGACAAGTTACAGAAACAATTAACCTAAGCATTGAGCTAGAGAAAGTAACACAAATATAGAAAAAAAAAACAAATAAATCTTCTCATAAACCTTCATATCAAACGAGTTCCTTCTCCCTCTCTCTCTCAACCAATTTCTCAACCCTTACCTTCTTCCTAGCCTTAGCCTCCTCCTTTTGATCCTTATCTCTATTTCTCATATCCGGTTCACGATCTCGTTCACGACGACCACGCTCATGGTCTCTCTCTCGCTCTCGCTCTCTGTCTTTATTCCTATTGCAGTCTCGATCTCGCCCTCTATCTCTCTCCCTGTCACAGTCACGTTCTCGGTCCCGAACTCCGTCTCGATCCTTGTCCAGATTGGTGTTGTCTGCATTGGAGGAATCGACCGAGTTCGTGAACCTAGCTGGAGACTGAAGGATAATGAAGAGATGCGAAATGAGGCCGGGGGCGAGCTCACGGTGGAGTCGGAGTCGATGAGAACCTAGGTTTCGATTTGGGGGAATTTTTTTTTTTTTTTTTTTTTGTCGTAAACAGCTAGTAAGTTTTTTTTGGCTTTGCTATAAACTAGGATATCCCTATAAACTATAACACTTAAAATTTTGGTTTCTGAAGTTTATGGCGCTTAAGTGAAATTTTCATGTAAGTATCGGCGGAATAAGTGATTTTCGCCTCTGATTTGGTGATTTTTTATCTTAGCGTTGTTTTAGTGCTATTATATAATAATCAAAAAATAAAATTCATCTATCATAACAGTTACGGAAAATGAGCTATCGTCAGATGCTATCAATGTGGATATTTTTTGTAGTGATTCTGAACAAATTTGTCTGAATGAACAGGAATTATTGTTTCTGTTGTGCCCTTGCTTGCTCAAAAGTGTCTTGTAATGGATTTTCAATATTTGTTTCATGTTTTGTGTTAGTCATATGTCTTATCTAACAATCATCTATTTGCTATACAGCAAACCAAAACCTCCTTGGTTCAACATCTCTCCCCGGTTTGCTTTGGTTTTGCCCATTAGATAACATGATTTGGAAGAGGTCAAGAGGAGAATCATAATCATTAGCTACTTTTTTTTAGTTCAGCTAGCTAACAAAAGAATGATCACGATAGATGCGACTTGTGGATAATTAGAATATCGTTTAATTTTCAGGAGACATGAATGATCTATCTCTTCACGATTTAACGTGCCACATTTTTTTATATGCGCATGGGAACCCATTTTTCGGCATTTCTACGTTAGCTTCTATCTACATTTGTTTATTTGTAGAAGATATAATGGAGATTTTTAGCATCTTATATTATTATTATTTATATATAGTAAAATTTATAACAGTATAAATTTGAATTTCATGATTTTAGTTATTTTGGAAATTAAATAATTTAATTTAAAGAATTTGATCATTTTTTAAATTAAAAAGTTAGTTCGATGATCATTTTATGGTAAACTAAATTTGTCGAATATTTCATTTTTAATGTACTTGATAATTAAAATAATCATTAGTTAAAAAACACTTACCTTTAGTCAATTAGCTAGATACAAGATTGCATCAAGATTTTCTTATAAACTTCCTAATGAATAACTTTGTATCAAGATGCAATTCTCTGATGGATGCTTCATTGAGATGTTGAATTTAAATATTGAATCTGGATGCAGGGCCGGCGCAGAGGCCAAGTAACTGAAGCCAGCGATTGGGGCCTCAAAATTTTAAGACCTTTTAAACTAAAAATTTGTTAAGTTTTGGATATGCTGCAAAAGCTATAAATTTATTCTGTAGGGCCTTTTAAAAAAAATGATATGAGCTTTTAAAGACAAACTAATTATCTTCAACACTAAATTTTTGATTTAGTAAAAAAAAACTCTAAAACGCTGATTGAATATTAAAAAAAAAACTGACAGCTACATGATACCTCTTATGCGTGTATGTGAGTCAATTTGCTTATTTTACACGTGAAAAATCATAGTTTTTGAAGTTAATTGTTAGTTTTGCTTTTGAATTTATTGTTTTTTCCTTGCAAATTTGTTTTAAAAAAGAAAGCTGCAAATTCGATAATGATTCGTTAATGGTTTTTGTAGTATATGAAAAAGGCATACTTTTTGAAGCTTTGCGTAGGGCACTCGCAGATGTCGGGCTGGTACTGTCTGAATGCATGAAGAAACGAAATTAGTAAAATGTTTGGACTTTGAACTAAGAATCTAAGATCAAGATTTAATTATAAATGGGAAAAAAACTACGTAAATTTAGAAACAGTTATATGATTAGAACTTCACAAGTGTACTTTTGTTGTTGTCGGATACATGTGCTTAAGATACATGAGCGTTCATGAAAATGACTCTCTCTTTCTATGTGCATGTGCATGAGAGGCATGTGACCACCGCAAACTAAGCCTTAACTGATATTTTTAACTTTATAACTATTCATAATTTTTTTTTAATTCATAAATTTTAAATAGTCCAGGCAACACTTGATTACAAAACTACTTCTTGTTATTGTTTGGCAGTGTCTATGAGAATATAAAAGAAATGTCGACACTTGCGAAATTTCTATTTGCCAAAAAAAACAGATGGAACTTCTGTAATTTTAGTTTGTTTTATATTATTCTTATACAATATGCATTTATTTCTTAAAACCTACTTAAGAATCTCTAACTTATGAATTTTTAAACAAAAAAAAATAAAATATTATTTTAACATAAAGGAGATGCAAAATTTCATTCAAAAAAATAATAAAGAAAATACAAATTACTATGGATTAGTGCTGCATCGGATCGTGAGAGCAGAAAATTAAATTACTTCATCCCGAGATGTTTATTTATCAAGTACTAGTTTACTTGAAAATCTTTTCATCTTGTCCTTTTGTATTGTTGAGAATATAGTAGTTTTAACCATGCATAAATTATAAGAATTGCATGAAACAAATATTATAGTACTAATCTAAATCATCAAATTGAAGAAGCAAACAAAATAGCTTACAAAATACAGTTCAATCTCTTGACGTATTGTTAATTAAAAAAAAAAAAAAAAAAACTCAGATGATTGTCAATTTAGAAACAATTACAATAGTTGCAAAGCAGAAACTTTGAAACAACTATGCTACAAAAGAGTAGAGGGACCTTGATCATTGAGGTGACACATTACCAACACTGAACACTCTCCCACCAATATTTTCATCATTATGAATTTTTACCTCAATGTTTGTATATATTAATTATGATATAGTACTGTTTAACTTGAAACAAATTAGTTGTTTCTTGTAATCACCACGATTAGAGTTATAAGTGATCCAATATATTTTGTAATGGTAAAGTATAAGCCTGAGAAAGTAACAATAAACATTTTGTAGATCTAACATTAACTAATGGATGATAAAGAGACCAAAAGAAAAACTAAAAAATTCATTTCATGTCATGAGGAATGCAACAAAAGTTTTCTAGCAAATTCCAAAACAACACAAAATTAAACGGAAGAAAAAGTAAATTGTCATGATCATCAAAATTTAGATTAGCAAAATTTGATCTAAGAAGATAATCCCTAATTAAATTATTGGAAAATAAAAAGGGATCAATTAAATCAAATAAGCTGTCTGAAATCTGGGCCAACGTTGTGGTGGATCAAGTAATCATCACCGTCCGATGAAACGTCGAAAATCATGGAAGTGTCCGTACCGTAATGGTGATGTATAAACTCATGATGGGCCCTACTCATCTCCTTCTGTCGCCGGAGCTCCATAACTTTCCGATGAGAATTTGAATGCTTCGTCAGCACAAACGTCGGACTCGCCGCGGGTCGATACTCCGGGACTAGACGCCCGGATTTGTACCTGACACCACAAGCGTTGCACAACGTCTTTGGGCCCATTGGGCCTGTTCGCCACTGCGGCGTCTTATCGGTGGCGCAGTGGAGACACTGTCTCCCTTCTGCGCCACCAGACTCCGGTGAAGAAACATCCTTCTTCCGCCGGTGTCCTCCATCGATGGCTTGCTTTTTCCCGAGCGGAGCCATCGATAGAGGCGGCGAGGTCGGTGGAGACAAGTGTTGGCTAGAGAGAATGGTTTCTCTGGTGAAAGGGTTGTCGTAAACCGTTTCCTTGAGAAGCCCACGTGAGGCCCAATTACAAGCGGCGGCGCGTGAGCGTTTGCTTCTAGCTTTGGCCGGCACAGAAACGTCGGTAGTAAAAATCGGACTGCTGCTATTCGGGTTTTCCGGGCTTCCGGTATCGGATTTCGGGTCGGGTCGGGTCTTAAAACCGGATATTAGCTGGAGCTTGTGTACATCTTCAGGCGACAACGATTCATCCACAATGTTTGAAAGCCACTCCAACTCATCAGCCAAATCATCAGACTAACAAAACAAAACGAACCAAATCATTTAATCTTTTTTTCTAAAACTTCAATAATTACAAATTACAAAACATAACATTTTGTTTTATTACAAAACATAACATTTACTTTACTAAAATTCAAGAATCACCAAATCTTGTTAATTTCAACGTACCGGTACACAAAGGTCACCGGAGAAGCTAGTACCGTCTTGAACATCACCGTGAAAATTGGAAATATCAGCGGCGGAGAAGGTAGAGCTGTCGGTTATGGCGGTGGTTGTGGTGGAATCAGCAACAACATCGTTTTCTTCGTCATCATCATTAGAGAAATCAACTAAGAGGTCATCAACGACAAAATGATCAGATGTGTGAAAGAATTCATGGGCTTCATCTTCCATAAGTTTCGTTGATTAAAGTAAAGAGTTGTTTTTATTTTTCCGGTAAACTCTCGTCGGAGGTCTTTGGAGAGAGGAGAGAGTGAAGTGAGGGGAAATGTGAGTTTAAAAAGGAGTAAAGTTAGAGAAAGTTATGGTTTATCTGTAGAAAAGATAAACTTTTGTTTATTTTATTTTTTACTTTCATTTTTATTGCGCTTGAAGGGGACAAGAGGTCTAATTCTGAAAAGTTTGACGAAGACAAAGGAGATTTTATGGGAATTTTTTATTTTACACTTACTCGTATACCTATTTTGGTTTTTTTTTTTTCCTTTGGTAAATTGTAATTATTATGATATTGGTTTTGCGAACATTTAGTTTGTTCACATATTTGTACAAACCCATGTGTGCGCACGATTTTTTTTATATGTGTAATGTGTTTATATGAAAACTAGATAAGGACCCGTCCGATGGACGGGTTTAATTTCTTAAACTTAAAATCAAATTTAACAAAAAATTAATTAACAATGTTGTTAGTAGTTTTATTTCAAAAGTAAAAACAATATTTACTTTTTTACTGTTGCAGTGTTTCTTTCACCACTAAAATTATTTCGAATGAAAAATATATCACATAGCAATAATTCATGGTATACTTATATGAAGAACTAAACTTAAAAATATTCATCATAAAATTGGCGAATGAAACCAAAATGGTTTTTAATTAGACACGTTAAAAATATAAAAATGATAAATCGACTAAATCTCTTAGCCTTCCAAGCTAACGTTGCGGGTTCGATTCTAATATACTCGATTGCAATGACTTTATGATCAATCAATAAAAATTGATAAATTCAAAAAATTATAAGCACAATGATATATGAATCTTATATAATTCAAATATGAACATAGAAATTTAAATAAACAATTTTGATATAGTATAATTAAATTCAAAATATCAAAAACAAAGAAGAAGCATATATGGTTCTTACATATTCAAGAATTTCAAATAAACAATATAAAACTTTACTTAAAATCATCACATATTTCTAATTAGAAAATAAAATTGATATAAATAATATAAATTTGTAATTTAAATCATGACACATGTCATTATCTAAAATTATCAGAACTATGATATATTATAAATCTTATATAATTTAAACTGAACATGGAAACCAAAATAAATAATTTAAAGATACAATATTTAAACTAAAAATAAAAAAATATAAACACGATGATATATGAATCTTTGATAATTTAAATATGAAAAGAGAAATTAAAATCAACAATCTAACAATACTACAATCATAATTGAGGACAAACAAAAAACACAGTTAAGTAAAAAAATATTACAAAAAAGGAAAACAAATTGATCTCTCATATTTCTAATTGAGAAAATAAACTCAAATAAATAATATGAGGATTAGTTTAATGAAATCATCATGTATTTCTAATTGGAAAGGAAATTGAGATAAATAATATCAAATTTTAAATTAAATCATGACACATGATAAAATTTTTGAATGATAACGGTTCATGATACTATTAATTACTAACTTTAAGAAACAAAAACATATCATATTAGTTATATAATAACATATGTTTCCTTTTAATAAATTTGCCTGATCTTTTTCTTGTTTTATTTAAATATATATTTTTAATTATAAAAACGTATAATTTCCTTATTATTATCTTTTGACATTTTAAAATTGTTTATAGAAATATTAATTATTTACAGTTGTCTTTTTTTTTTAACGTCTAGATTTATTATTTATTGCAAATTATGAGAAATGTTACATAGACGATTCTACAACGGACAATTCCTTCCGACCCTTATTAGATTCACGACGGACGATACTTCCTTCTTCATGCTCTTGACGGACACCTTGAATGATCCACGACCTAATGACACTTCTCTCTCTGCGTAGAATCCTGGCTAACGGCTATAATTGTACATCGCTGGAGATCTCCTGCACATTTGCCTCCATTAATCTGCAAATTTATTGATAAATCGCAGTAACTGAGACTCGAATCTCAGACCTCTTAGTGTAAATGCATTAATTAACCATTGGTAAACCAATGAGCGAAGGGGGCTTCCTTACAGTTATCCTTATAATTATATTTTACATTTTATTTATAATTACTTATAATTATCTTTTTTTTTTAAGTAAATTTTTGTTTTACACGTGTCAAAATCTAAAATCGATAGATTTGGTATGTGTCACGATCCTATGAGTTACTAACTTTGAAAACCATACTTTATATAATAAGATACTAATTCCGGCAATTTTTAAAGATATATATTTCTTTTCTCTAACTCAACATAATGTTTCTTATTAAAAAAGAAAAATTAAAAAGTATATATGTTTTACACTCGTAACAAAAATAGAAAATTACAATTTTAGTCAAGTGGTTAACGGTCTATTGTTGCATTTTTTTACTACCGGAATTCTACTCGCATTATCCCATGTAATAAAAATTAAGTTATTAGTCGGGATTTATCGACCTAAATGATAAAAAAGTTTCAGAAAAAAATTGGGAATAAATATTTAGAATTGTAGTCTGAATTCAGATTAGATGATTGGTTTTATAATCTTGAGATTTGTGAGAAAGTAAATTATAGAGCATAAATTTGCAGGGAAATTTAGAATTTGCTTAGTTGACAAATACGAAGGTGGGAAATATTTTTGACTTCATTTAAAGGATTAATTGAATCAAACATGTGCAATTATGGTATAGTGGTGGGGGACAACTTTACCAAAAGGGTCATAACGTTGCTTCAAATTACAGAAAGTACCACTCACGTGCATGTGATGGATGATGATCACGCCGTTGATTATCATCAACCAACACTCGATAAGCGTCGACACCATTACGAGAAAGTTGAAACCGATCCACATTATTTAAATGTATTGTAAACCGGATCGAGTCACCAGTTTTGGTATAATACCTAAAATGATAAAGTTTATCAAATCATGTATATTTGAGGCAGGCGGATCTAGAGAATTTGTTAATGGAAGCATAAAACATTAAATGGCTGATGGAGTACGTGTGTAGTAGTAATTACTAGCGACAGTCGACCTTAAATATGTGTTAATATTTTTTATCTTTACATTATTGGTTGAACTAGATTATAATTAATTTTATTGCTCCGTATAGTTTTTAGACTTTTAGGAGGAAAATGGTATTTTCGTACAATTTGCAAAGTGTGTTTTTCGACCTGAACAAATACATATGATTAATTCCAATACAAACCGCAAAAAATATTAATTTCATACACACTTTACATTTGGTATTTTATTCGGAGTCGTAATTAACGGGTGTTAGTCACCGTTACAGTTGCTAAGCTAGCTGATACGTGTTTGATGACGTGGCTTGAAAAGATGTCGTTGTATTTGCTGGAGTTAAAATTTTAGTGTTTGTTTTTTTGCAAAAATTGGGTCTTGAACCCTGCCATCGAAGATAGTTGAGGATCAAATGTTATGGGATGTGTAAACGAGTGAGATGTCGGGGGTTTGAGACCCAATTTGCAAAATAATAATTTAAATTTTAACTCCAATAAACAAAACGACGTCGTTTTAAATCATGTCATCAAATATATGTCAGCTGACTTAGAAACCGTAACAGTGTACTAACACCGTTAATTACGATTTTGAATAAATCTCTAAATATAAAATTTGGATATGAAATTCATATTGTTTCAGTTTGGGAATTAGAATTAACGTTACATGTTTATTCATATCAAAAACACACTTACAAATTATACGGATATGAAGATATCATTTTCCGACTTTTAGGCTATCCATATAGGATAAAAAAAATTAGTCCGTATTTTAGTTTATTAAGTCCGTTGCTCTTAATTATGTAATTTTATCTTTTAGCAGTTTGTCGGAAACACTAACAGTAATGGATGTAACACAAACAAACTCTATCAACAATGCAGTAAGTCGACAAAAGACTTTCGGATTATAATAAATGAAAATATGGTTAGGGACCGTGTTAGGTTCTTTCACGTTACTTTAAAAGTTATAAGTCATTATAACCCATGATAAGATTTCAAGAAAACTAAACTATGAAATCAATAATAACCTGATTGGGCGATCGAAATAACTAAATATACAAAACCTAACAACAAAATCAATAACAGGACATTCTATATTTCTATTGGCCGATTCGATTATCTACCACATCGAACAATATTTCTCGGGACTTGTATAAGAATATATTAAGAAAATTTGTTTACCTATTGTTATTTTATAAACACGTTAACCCTTCTTCCTAATCCCATGTTAAATCTCTTTATTTCTTTTTCGATCCCACTTTTAGCCACGACAATTTTCCAGCTCACCCAATCAGAAATAGTATGACTGGTCAAAATACACTCTTCTTTAATTACCCCTATATACGTTTTAAAACTTATTAACCACTATACTATGTTGCAAATACCAGTCATAAAATAGAATCCAAGTCCGTGTCCTGAAAATAAGACACGGTAATCACTCCAGAAAACGAAATGAGAATTAATATTGTAATAATTGTAGCCAAGGACTATAGCTAACTATCACAAAAACTATCTATATCTAAAGAAGTCCCAATACATGAAGAAAAGAGATAAATACTAGAAACGAGAGCCAGTACAATGAGATCGTTATATATTATACATATATACTTGGTCAATCTACAAAGACCGTTCATAAGTCCTAGTACGTATCTAAGTTTACGAACTCGATGAGAACAAAAATAAGAAAAAGAAGAGGATATGATCGTATCTACTGATCACTTAATTGTGCATTGACAATAATTTTAGGGAGGATTCACTACTAGACTAACCCAAATAAAACGTTTAATTATCAGAGTAACACTCAAATGGATTTTAATGAAAAACTCTCAAATATCAGCCGATTGAACTAACGTTGTGTTGGTCCAGTGGTAAATCTCTGAGGTGGTGGTATTGGGTTCGACGTCCATTGGGAGGGATCTCTTCTCCGAATGAGATGAATTTAATCGATATGGTGTGGGTCCCGCCTCTGGGAGATGTAGGATCTTCGGTATGCCTGGGAATTTGACCGATCGGTTTATTCGGGTTTGGTTTCTCGGTTTTCTGGTTATTTCGGAATTTGATGAAAGCTGTTTCGAAACTAACTAACTAAAATTTCGGTTCGATTCGGACACGGTTATTTTGGTTTTTGCAATTCGGTTATTTCGGTTTAATAGTTTTCGGCCAAAACTGGGCTTTGTCTTTTTTTTTATGAAATTAAGTGGGCTTTCTCTTAAAAAACATAATTGGGAACAAAAAAAAGAGAAAAAAGAAGATGGCGTCGAGAAGAAATCGACCAAGCAACGACGGCCGACGAACTGATGACTGGACACACCGGCGGCGAGATCTGTAAGGTGGAGCTCGTGTATAGATC